AAATTGCATCTAAAGGCACCAACTTCAAGCCTGTTGCAATTTAGTCACACCTTTTGTTATTTACCATTAAATCACCACATTACATATGTTTTGCAGATCAAAGCATAAATTTAACTTTCGTATCACCACATTACATATGTTTTGCAGATCAAAGCATAAATTTAACTTTTGTTAGATTAGAGCTGACTTGGCACAGAAGGAAAGTCTACGTGACTGCTCGGCAAAGGCGAAAAGTTTAATGGAAGTTGACTTTAACATATGAAAGTGATTTAATTGCAAATAGCAGAAGATTTGAAGGTTGTGTATATGCATTTTCATATATATATATATATATATATATGATGGGTATATAAATGACAAGGCATTTTGTGAATTACAACAATACATTATACATAAACCCTTGTGATCAATCTTCAACATTTGACCAAACAGCCAAGAAAATAAAATCAGACAAAAAAAAAAAAGGAACAAGAACAAATAGATTGTTGCATGATGACATACCTTCCCTTTTTCTTGAAATGGGAAGAACTTGGATAATTTAAATTTTAAAGCTGGAGATCTAATAAATGGGAGAAAAAAAATGTGAGGTTTATGAACAAGTGAGGAGGAAAATGCATGTGGTTCTGGTTTTACTTTCATATTACAATATATTCTTAATGGGTGGTGGTCATTAGTTTTATTGAGAATTGATTGTATTCGTTCTTTCAACCTCACCCTTTTATTTTATTTTACTTGTTTTTTTTTTTTAATTAAGATTAATATAATTTTGTCAATATAAATCATGGGAAATGCTACGGTCTAATTACGGAATCATTCCGTCGGGGTTTGTAACCGTTAGATCAACTATTTCCGACGGTTACAAACCTCGAAGGAATGGTTCTGTAACGGGACCGTAGCATTTCCCTAAATCATGTTGACAACGTAAAAATAATTGTGTTGATATAAGTAATAGAAAACTGCCTGTTAAGTGTTTAACATTTCATAGATTTATTCCACAAGATACGTTTTAATAAATAAAAAAAAATAAAAAAGATCAATGGTGATTAGGAATTAGAATAAAAATATTTTTTTTCATACAATCTCCTCTCTCATACACACGATGAACACAAATTAACATGCCCGCCAACATATTTGGTATCTGTAAAATACAACAACACTGCAGTAAGAAAAAAATGAAAAATAAATCCACATAAAATAATTTAAAAGGAAAAAAAAAAGATAAAAAAAAAAGTATTTAGGCCTTCGTGGCCTCCAAACGAGCTGTGGTTTTGCTAGAGGTAAGCTGCTCGTAAAGGTCCCTGATCTTCAACCCAATGATCGTCTGAAAAAGTCCGGTCCCATTGTTGCTGCCCGGGAAATCTGCGTGCTTCAGCATTTGCTGAGTGACTTCGCCGTAGAATTTGCTGGAGATGTTGCTGAGGTGGCTCTCGACGTATATGAGCTCGTCCAGCCTGTCAAATTGGCCGTCCATCTCCAAAACCGAGACCTGGAGGTTATGTAGCAAATTTAAATTAAATTATCTTTTTTTTTTCTTTTATATTAACTCACTTTATCTAATAAATCCAATCAAATCGAAAGACCCTTGGTATTTTTAAGGACATAAGTTGATATATTATCACTTTAACATCCATTAATATATATATTCTTGTACCTCGTGGCCATAGTACGTGTCAGGACCGTAGGTGAACTTGATGCCGGGGTACGAGCACGTGAGCTTGCGGCCACAAGGTATCCATGAGATGGTCGACCCCTCGTCGAATAGGTAAACCGGGTTAAAAAACTTGACACCTTCTTTCTGAATCAACCTTACTCTCAAGTACTTGCCTTCATTGTCATCTGGGATGAGTTGGGTGGGCAAAACTTCTATGACTGCATCTGCATACTGCTTCTGTGGGTCTGCATTTGCATATACACAAAGTGTCACGACGACTCGACGAGGCTCATTCGATCGTTTAGGGGTTTGAGCACAAAACGTTAATTATGAAAAGGCTGATCAATATGACCATTTTGACGAAAGAGGATTCGTAGAATAATATGTAATGTCGAAATAAAATTTCCAGAATAGTTATACAAATTGCTATTCACCAAATAATTATTTACAATTTAAAAATCGTTAGTCAAATCAGTTATTACAATCCGTCATTAGCTATACAAACGGCTATTACAATTCGCTAGTCAAATCAGTCATTACAATCCGTGATTAGATATTCGTCATTACAATGCCAAATAGATGTGATAAATTTGATATGAAGTGAAAAAAAAAAAGAGAATAATTACCAATATAGGCATCGAAATCTGGTTTTCGGGCTTCAATGCTAGCTTTGATGCTTTCGAGGCTGTGTCCTCTCTCAGCCATGTCTCTCTTTCAATTCCATAATAACAAGAATCAAAATTCAAAAGAGAGCAGCAGATTAAAATCATTGTTATTTATAATTATATTTTTTTTTTAACATTTTAGTGACATTAATTAATTTAGTGAAATTAATATATAAGAATTTAATTACCTGAATTTTCCATGCGAATTTGACTTCATTGCTGATGTCCAAGTAAATGCTAAAGTCCAAAAGATCCCTCACTCGTGCATCGTATCTACATAGAATTTGTCAAAATATTAATAAAAAGAATTTTTGCATCGTACCTAGCTATATACATTCAACCATAAGAAAAATAAGAAGAATTTTGTCAAAATAATAATCAAAAGAATTTTAACCTTATTTAGTAATATGTAATTACTTGATTAATTGTTAGAATCAAATGAATTTCTATGTGTAAATATCCATATACTTTGTTTATACATGCAATATATATATATATATATGTATATGTGTGTGTGTGTGTGTGTGAAATTGAATATGATAGACAAATAAACAAACTATTATGTTTTTTTTTAAGTATATTGATTATTTAAGTTGATAGACAAGCTATTGTATTTTAAAATATATTTAAAAATGAAGTTGACAAAATATTTTATAATTTTAAAAATCATGAGATAAAAAGCTATCACAATTTGATAAATATGATTACGAGTCACCACAAATCCACACATAAAATTAGGGGAAATACTACGGTCTTGTTACAGAACTATTTATTTTTAATTTGTAATTGTTAGATCATCATGTAATCGTAAGAGATAGCTGATCTAATAGTTACAGCCTACGATAGAATGATTCTGTAACGGACTTCAGCATTTCCCTAAAATTAATAAGTCCCGACAAATTAACACTTAAACTCGAGAAGAACTCGTATTTCCAATTTTAAACTTTTTTCTTTTCTTATTTATATACTGCAAAAATAAAAATAAAAATAAAAATGGAGTTAAATGCCGCATGTTTGTGATAAGGTGTGCATGGGCCGCAACGTGTCGCATGTGGCAGCTGAATATCTGACGTGGAAAATCTTATCATTTTCCTCTCCTCAACATACATTTTTTTTTTCTTTAATTAAAACTAATTAATTAGTTGATTAATCAATTTTAATTTCCGTAACAAACAAAATAATTAAGTGAAAAGAAAAAGGCAGCTCACAAGGGGTGCAATCCCTCGATGACGAAGATCTTGGGCGGTTTAATCAGCTCGGGCGGGTCAATCAAACCGGTCACGTGGTTATAAATCGGTTTCTGGACCGGCACCCCCTCCTTAACCGCCTTGACCTGCTGGTACATAAGGTCAAAATCGTTGGCCCTCGGGTCCAGTGCGGTTACCCCCTTCTCCTTCCGTCCGGTTCTGTCCAGTGAGTGGTAATCGTCCAGGCAGATCACCGTCGTCGTCTCGCTTATCAGCGTGTTCGAGTCCGGATTCCCGCCCCTCGGCGCCTCCGCCGCCCCGCCGAACACGCTCGTCAGCCGCCGCATGAAAGTGCTCTTCCCGCACCCGGAGTCCGCCGCAAGCCCGATCACCACCGTCTTCCCCTCCGCCGAGCAATAGATCTCTGCCGTCCTGCTCCGTCCGCCGCCGGAGGAGGCTCGTTTTGTGTAGAAGAGGACCTGTCTCCGGCTGGATCCGAAATTGTACCTCGGCGGCGTGGGGATCGAGCTCGCCGAGTGGAGGGATTGAGCTGTGTAGACTGTGCAGACCGCCATTTTTAGGTATTTCGTTTTCTCTCTCTCTCTCTCTCTCTCTCTCAAAAGAGGTTAGTTAATAGTATTGAATAGTTAGTGTGATGAGAGAGGAGGGGATGGTGGTGTGATTTTTTTCATGAAAATTTTTGTTATTTATTTATTTATTTATTTATTAATATTTTTTCTGTAATTTTTGAGCAATTGTTGTGGAAAATTAAGATAATAAAATGTGAGGACAAAGAAAAGGAGAGAATAAGAGGTTATGGTGAGAGTAAAAGAGATTAGATATGGCTTTTTTTGGATATGAAAAAGGTGTCTGTGGTTTGATGGAGAGGAGGAGGGTGTGATGTGTCAGTCACTGTTTATGGGTTTATGGCTTTCTATGAATGCTTGGGCTAATTTGGAGGTGATATTTTTAATTTTTATAAGTAACCAAATATGAGAGCTTTTCACCAATGAATATAGGCGTTGCAAAAATTCTATGGAACCATCGGATAGTTTTCTTATAAAGTTATCCACCACCCAAAGTATTGACACATGCACAAATAAGTGTGGATGGCTCCATAAGTCGTGTCATTCGATGGCTCCATAGCAAAACTTTACGACATGGTTACAAAGTGTATACTCTGAGAGAACCCACAATGGTTTGGATCTAATTTTACATAGTATGTAAATATAGCCAAGTTTTATATGACATGGATAGAATAAAATTAATGTAATTAAATTTACTAAGTCTCTTACTTGAGACTAAAATAGACTTGGGTAGAATTAAATTTACTCGCATTGAAAAATAATATTCTATATTGGATGTATTTATCACGTGGCACGTATATTTTTTAACTGAACCTGAAGTGTATGGTGGATGCTATAAGTAAACACAAGTTGTTGTATGAGGGTAGCTAGTTATTTGGTGGATGGATATGTGGTGAAGTGCATGTTATTTATGTTATGAAATGATTTATGTTTGTTTATTTTGTCCTTTAGAGTACAAGCTTGAAGTTTGACACTATGAATATGAGTTGAAAAAATATGACAACCTCACCATTAATTTTATGTTTCATATGAGTAGATACTCTTGACTCTTCAAGACATTGTTACAGGTGTATACTCTTGTAAAGACTGGAGACCATATGAAAGGATTTTTATGGACCATCCATGCCGTTTTCTTTGATCCAACTGAATTATGGGCCTTCCGATGTTTGTAAAAGTTTAAGGAAAAATCACACTCTGGGCTACAGCTGAGGACTGTACTTCGGGCCTATTACAGCATGAGCATAAGAAACTTTTTTTTTTTTTTTTTTCAAACAATTATACAATTAATTAAAAGACGAAATTCATTTACATAGATCTTCCGCTAACTTTTAGCGTGTGCGTTGTGGTAGGTATGTTCTAGGCTACACCTTGTTGTAGTTCTCCCTGTTAGATTCAGCTGTGTATTCGGCCGTGTGGCTGTTGTATTTGATCGTGTGGCTGTTGTATTCGACTGTATGGCTGGACTCTAGTTTTTGTGTTTGTTAATAAATCTATTTTTTAATTGTATTTTTACGTTTTAAAAATAAATTTTGCATCAATATTGATTTGTGCTAAAATAGTTACACAATTGCCTAGAATATGTTTCCTATTTGAAACGTCTACTTCCACCATATCTGCAACTAATTGCCTAGTGATTGATGAAAAAAAGAAAGTCTATTATAGATGGTAAGATTATACCTTCCAAAAACATGACCGTATTGGTTGGTAATGAACATAGCCATGTCAGACCGACATCGTCATGTAGGTCCGTGCTGAACATAGCCATGTTGGACATGACAATCAGGCGCGACTACCATGCATGACGACGGCGTTCAGGCGACTAAATTCTGGCTGAGGTTGTCGGACTCCAAGCCCTGACGAGGTCATCGAAAATCCGAGCTTCGAGCTCATGTCCGCCATTAATGGCGGACTTAATCCAAGAACAAACATCTCGATTGGAAAAAAAAAAAAAAATTGATCTCGATTGTAAGAGGTCTCCGGTCGGATGCACAAGATATTGGAAGCCTCGACTGGCCGAGGTTAGGTAATGGAGGCCGATGCATGATGATTCAACTATGAACCAGATTCGGGAATTGAGGGTTTGATAGTGAAATTGAACAAGTTCTAGGGACTATATATAAACTAATTATAAATTTTTATCAGAATATTATACAAATACATTTTTTTTTCTTTGTGGTGTTAAAACACTGTTATAAATGGTTAACTTACACAAGTATAAACCATACAAAAATTACACAATTTATTAGTTTAGTATAAGGTTCAAAAATTATTTTTTCTATTAGAAATTTATATCCAATTTATTTATATAATTTATTATACGTTTCTATACCAATACAAAAATAAAAATTTGTGATTTTATACACAGATTGATTTTAGTTTATTATAATTTTATAAACTAATACTTTTATATATTTGACAAGATATGAAATTTGATAATATATATTTGACAATATATGTATATATTTTTTCCACACAGGCATATTAGATATAACACTTGATAACATATTTTTGTTCTCATATTTTGACAAACCCAATCATTGGGTAGGCAGAAATTATACTCATAAACCGAATTTGTACAACTACTGAAATATGTTTTATTTTTCAATTTTTTTCCTAGTGACCCTGTCATTTTTCTAATCCACTCGAAGTCAAGAAGCTTTGTTCTTTATCATCATCGTCAACCTATGAAAGTCTATAATCTAACAGTTATAGAATTATATTTATATGTTTAGCCTGAGGCCCAACTCTATACGACTTTTTAACTTTTTTAAGTTTTACAATAATCAAACATCGCCCACAAGAACTATTCAACCTAATATATAGCATAAGAGAATAGTTCGAAGGAAGCTTAATTCGTGAACCGGTAATGACTATAGTAAGGATAGAGACCGTTCGGCAAACCGGACAGAAGGAAGCTTAATTCGTGGACCGGTAATGGCTATAGTAAGAATAGAGACCGATCGGTCTAACAGAAAGGCCCATTAGCTCGTCATAAAAACAACTGGGCCTAGTAACGAAGCCCATTAGCTCGTCATAGCAACAACTCGCGAGGCAATTAGCTCAGCCTAGCAACAACTCAGTCTAGCAGCGAGGCGCATTAGCTCGTCATAGCAACAGATCATAGCAACAGCTTGGCGTTGCAGTGAGGCCCATTAGCTCGTCATAGCAACAGTTCAGCCTAGCAGCGAGGCCCATTAGCTCGGCCTAGCAACAGCGAGGCCCATTAGCTCGGTCTGGCATTAGCTTGTCATAGCAACAACTCGGCCTAGCAACAACTCTGTTTAGCATTTTATATTCGTGTAAAATTTTGCGGTAAATTATAAAAGCAGACAAAAATGGGTTTTAGGTATTCCAAAAAGAACCCATAAAAGCAAAAGCAAGCCAAGCTCGAAGCTTTTTCCCCCTTTTATTTTGTGGGCTTTTCAATTTCCACACGTATGCCCCCAAAAAACATACCTCTCTCGATTTGAGAAGGGAAAATATTCACGAAAGCTTTCATTTTTTAGGCAGCCTAAAATTTTCCCAGCTTTTCTTTGCGTGTAAATTGCAATTTTTGTTGGGCTTTAAATATGGTGGGGATTTTCTCAAGATTATCGGTGAAGAGTAGTCATCGTCGGCCTCAAAGCGCTCTTGTGAGCTTCACCTCTGATTTTCTCTTTTTTTTTT